ATTTTACTAGTCTTATTACATTTATTTGTGTTTGTGTATGTTTGCAAGTGTTTGTATTGTTTTTATTTTATTTTTTGCTTCACCTTTGTGAGCAAGGTTGCTTTTGGCTGGGCAACAATATTATGAATTTAGACTTAATTGCTTGAAAATTATGAACCTCACAACATACAAATTTAATCTCTACCATACAATCACTCACCCATAAAAGTCTTGGTGATTTCACAGTTGGAAAAAGTTACATTTATTTTTTCAAACTTTTGTTTTTTAGTAATTTTTTAAAATTTATGTCAAATTTTTTATTTTTCAATTTAGTCTAATTTAGAAGGAATTAAAAAAAAAATTACAACAAAATAAATAACTTTTTTTTTCTTTCTTTAAATGGCTTTTTGCTTTTTGTTTGTTTTAGGCCCATCTCATCTAGTAAAATCTAAATGTGATTTTTTTTAAAAATAATAATAAAAAAATTCACTAAATTAATATATTTAGCATACATGAAAGATTTGGTTATTCCATACTCCATGTTTGTTGAAAAAGGCAGTCTTTCTGGTAGTTTTCCTTAATTTTTTAAAATTTTATTTGGTTGCCTAGCATTGTTTTTCGTTTTGTATTTTCTAATATTAATTGTTGTAGTTGGGCTATAAGAAAGTTTGTGGAAAATGCTACTTTCATATCGTTAGATTTTGATTATTGGTGTAAAACAAATCAAGTTAAACTTGTTAAAAGTGCATTCAAGATCGCTTGTTATTTAAACAAATCAAACTTGAATACAATTTCAAGCACCAAAATTACTATTATTTTACTTGGTAATCTTATTTTACATTATAAAAATCTAAGCCACTATAATCATTTAAGATTGACTTGAAAATCAAATTTATTATAACATATAGGAGTTTTAGGGACCAAACTTTTGTATAAAAAAATAAAAATTTTGCTACAAAAAAAACATTTGGGGGACTAATTCTTGTCGTCGTCCCGAAATGTTGGGAAAAAAAATTTAGCCACAAAAAATTGAAAATGTTTCTAATAACTTAGAAACAAAATAATTTGATTAAAAAAAATAATAAAATTTGAGACATTTGAATAACGAAACAAGACCTCAATCGGTATCAATATTAATGTCTTATACTCCACACGCCTAGGTTATGTCGTTGTTGTGGGAGCAAATAAAGAATGGGAATTGTAAATCAATGAAGATGGTCCAGCTTGTCTCATGTTTGAGATTAAGGCTGGATTGTCCACTCTGGCTCATGGGCCCAATTTTGGGTTCCGTTTTGATAATCCAAACTATTCAATGTGTAGAACCCGTCGAGTATCATATCCCTCTAAAAAATCACGTTAATCGGATATCGATAGCTATTTGATCGGATCAGATTTCTGTTAACCGGTTATTTTTTTATACAAATCTGATCCGATCAAATAACTGTCGATATTCAATCAACGTGATTTTTTAGAGGGATATAATACTCAACGATTTCTATATATTAACGATTCAGATTATCAAAATGGGGACCAAAATGGATCCATGGACCAGACTAGACGGTCCAGTCTTGATCTCAAACATGAGACAAGTTGGACCCAATGAAGATAACCTTCACGTTTGTACAAATTCTTTTTCATATTTGCCACTTCTTTCAAAATAAAATAATTTATCAACAAAATTTTTATACATAAAACTCGTATAAAATGATATGGTTATAATATTTTTATACACAGATTGAGATGAAAGACCATAAGATTATACATAATTTTTTGGGAAAGTTACCCATTAGTGATCCTATCAAAAAATTGTAGGTGTTTTAAAATATATCGCTTATCTGCATTTTTTATTTTTAAATCTCACACTAAATTGAAATTTTTCCTAATTTTTTATGAAATTTTCCACTACAACAAATGACACTTTTGGCGACTAAATTTTTAGTCGCCAAAAGTCACACTTTAGTCGCCAAAACTTTTACTAACCAAAATGTTTGGTCGCCAGATTAGTCGTTGAAAAATTGTCGGGAAAGGAAATTGGCGACCAAAAATGGTTTACTCACCGAAAGTCCTCCATTGGAGAAAAATTTTTTAGTCGCCGAAAGCTTTCAAATAAATTTAATATTGCATTTTCAGCGACTAAAATTTTCAATTATTTAGTTACTAAAAGTTTTAGTCGCCAAAATATTTTTTTGGTTCATCTTATTTCTTTTTAGCTACAAAATGTTTTAGTCGCCTAAAGTCTGATTTTGTTTTTTAGCTAAACTTTTAGTCACCTAAAGTCTTTTTTTTTTTTGGGGGGGGGGGGGCTACTAAATTAAGCTATTAACTATTTAGTCGCTAAAAATATATACTTCCTTTTTAGCTACCAACTGCTTGGTCGTCAAAATCATCATTTTATATATTTTTTTTAAAAATTAATTTGTCCACAACCTGTATGTATTCTGTGCAACCTGTATCATGTATATAAACGAAACAATACATATATTATCAACTATTCGACAATCTACATCAATTTCACTTCCAATCATCCAAAAATGAATAATGTCTAATTCCATATAAACCAAGTATATTCCAACCTACAATAATTGTTCCATACAAAACAAAGAATCATACGAAAACCATGTCTTTCGTACACAAAAAATATATTCATTACCATGCCAAATGGCCATTTGGCATGATACAAATTATCATGGTAATCTGTTTCACGAAAAGCGGTAATCTATATATAACACGCCAAAAGTATTATATACCATGCTAAAAATGATCTATACGATTAATACTAATACACACAAAAGCTGAAGATGACAAAATAGGCTAATTATACAAAAGTGTAAATTGTCCTCTATACAAAAAATGGAATATCCACAAATTCAAGCCAAAAGCCATTTATCAAAAAAAAAAATTGCATCCATTGGTACCAGAAATGCATGTAGAACTTGATACTCTAAGGCAAAAACATTAGAGGTTATGATGAGTAAATTAAACTGTTCATCTTCTTCAGTACTTTTTCCATCATACTCTTAGACATGGTTGAAGTGTCAATTGAAAAGATCTAAATCAGTGAATATCATTGAGTACACAGTGAAACAACTAATTCTAGATTTAGAGTTTTGTTTATGTACATGATGAGTGAAGAAAATCATACTTGACTTGAAGAATGCAAAATGCCATACAGATTACAACCATTGAGATCCCAAAACACTGATAAACTCACTCATATGAACATCCCAAAAAATACACACTTCAACCATTACAAGTGTTCACAGTACTGGATACAAAATGCACAGATGTAAGGCCATGTTTACAGCTATAGATGTGAAGTTTAAGGCGTTTTCGCCTCCTAAATGCCCTTTTTCGACTAAGTTTAAGGCATTTTCGACTCTAATTCCCAGCCTACATGTGCTAATTATGTTCCGTCTATCCCCACAGGTCCTATTTGTCATGAGAAAGATGCCGTGACATCCATATAGTGGTTCGGGAGCTGTTTTGCATTTTCGTCTCCCTAAACGCCCTTTTTTTACTTAGTTTAAGGTGTTTTTGACTCTAACTCCCAACTTACATGTGCAGTACATGCCTTATGTCCTAGATTTTACTCCAACAATAAAGGCAAGGCCAATGCTACATACCTGTACCAAAGATGAATGATGTGTGTTCATGCCAAAGACATGATTCATAATAAAAATTTTCTAATCCATTATGTAATCTTTTATATGGTTGTAGAAGAAGACATACATTCTCCATAACAATATTTATGTTAAATATCTTGTATATGGACTATAATTATCAATATTTGGAAATTGTTATTAGAGCACAATAAAGGACTAACGGGAATTCAATTTCATGAAAATAACAGAAAGAGTAAGCGAAACCGGATTTTACTCCAACAATAAAGGCAAGGCCAATGCTACATACCTGTACCAAAGATGAATGATGTGTGTTCATGCCAAAGACATGATTCATAATAAAAATTTTCTAATCCATTATGTAATCTTTTGCATGAGTTAAGCTAGGAAATATTAGTGAAGGAAATAATTTCAAGGCTTTAAAAGTAGATGCAAGAGAAGCTAAATTGATTTAGAAGAGACTTTGTCAACTATAAAATTGAAACTTGTTGATTCCATACAAATCATCCCATCAACAAATTTTCATTTGTCTTCGTTTGACTTGTCTCTAATAAAACCATGTCATACAAATTGCATTTCCTTATTTATTATAGGATCTTATGACTCATGTAACATAAAAAATGACTACAAAGAATACAGACATGCCTAGAGAATTCAATTTACTTAAACAAAAAGGACTACCAATCAAATAGCTCCACAAAAAAGAACTCATGGCACAGTTGTTTATTTTTATTTTTATTTTTATTTTTAATCTCCCTAGTAAGAGAATCTAAAGATTAACTCCACCCCAACCTACACCAAGCAATATTTGATAAAAGAAACACTCCTGAGTATATACATTTTGTATCTGGCACACATATAACTGATGACTGAAAAATTAGAATGAGGGAGTGATAACATATTGAATGGCTAACTTAAAAAAGTGCAGGTATGCCATAACAAATTCTTATTGTCAAACACCTCAATGCTTTCAAACAATGGATTAGGGCTTTGAATACATACACAATCAAGGAGTAACCATACATGCAAATACATACACAATCAATAGATTAGGGCTTTGAAACTAATGGAAGAGAAAGGAAAAAGAAGGGGAAATGTATCAAACGACTAAAATCAAATCCATATTTAGGACATCAAACCCATAGAACTTTAGAAATCAAAACACAACAACCAAACCCATTTCATAAATCAGCACGAAATTAAATTGAATCAAGCATATAAAACCCTACAACAACAGTCAGAAAGGGGGAAATAGAGAAAGAGAGAGAGAGAGAGAGAGAGAGAGAGAGAGAGAGAACCTGTGATCTGCAGCGGTGGTGATGGTGATTTGCAGTGGTGGCAGTGTGCGACGTACAGTAAGCGACGGTGGTCTACGGTGAGGTGAAGTGAGGTGAGGTTTGGTGGTGAAGGAGAATCTATGTGAGAGAGATTGTTTTGTGTAAATAGAGAACAGGCGGGCGCCAATATTAAATGATTTCCCTCTAAAATTTTCACATCTTTGGCAACGAAATTGGTTTTGTCTGTAAATGTTAATAACTGGCAACTAAAGCTTTTTTTAGCCAAAGCTTAATCAACGACGACTAAAATATTAGTCGCCAAAATTATTAATTTGGAGACTAACTTTCTTTTGGTCGGAAAAAATGAATATACCACGACTAATTTTTTTTTTTAGTCACCAAAACTTAATATTTGCTGACGAAATTGTTTGGTAGCCAAAGAGTAACCATAAAAATATGACTGTAATTTGGCGACTAAATTTCATTTTGTTGGCAAAAAATATTATATGATGACTAAAAATAAATTTAGTAGCTTGAAATCTACACTAACGGCGACTAATATTTTGTTTAATCGCCTATTATGGAATATTTAGCGACTGAATTTTTTTTAGTTGCCAAAAAGAAATATATCTCGACTAAAAAAATTTAATAACTACACCCTTAACCAACGCTGACTAACACATTTTTTAGTTGCCAAAAATGTCACTTTTGTCGTCAAATTTGGTCACCAAAAATATAAATTGTTGAAAAAACAACTTGTAATGTTATCACAAAATTCCCTCAATAAAGAAAATGTAGTTCTATATACCGTTTGAAGATGATAAGGAAAACACCGTGCGAAAAAGTACCTGTTATACAATTAGAAAACTAGACAAGTGGTACTTCCATATTAAAAAATAAAATAAAATCTGGGTTAATATCATAACGTTATAATAAAATTAAGGCTTTTGTTAACACAACATGTATGAGGAAGAAAATTACATAAATATGATTAGGAATATTATTTGTTTGATCCAAGTTTATTTTGAGTATGATTTCTCATACAATGATCACAATTTTTTTTTATTTTAGATTTTTTTTATTTTTTATTTTAATAGATTTTTAGCTAGAGTATGAGGTAAAAAAAAATTAGTATTTTAGATTTTTTTTTGAATTTTTTGGAAAAAAGATGTAAAAGTTAAAGAGAAAATGAAATTATGTTTTTTTTTTTTGGGTATAATTCTTTGACTTTTTGACATTTTTAATGACTTTTTGGCTATTATGATTATCCAAAATTTTCAAACTTGCCCTTAGTATTTACACTTTTTTATATAGTATTATTGTTGTTAGTTAAGTGTTAACGCATTGGGGGAGGTTAATTAGAAGGGAAACACTTAGGTAGCATTTGGTTTGAAACTCAAATCATGATTTGAATCAAAAAGTTTCAAAACTCATAATTAAACACATAATTCAAAACTCATAATTAAACACATAATTCAAAACTTAATTTAAAATCTCTTTTCAAAATTCTTTTTTTAAAAAAAAAATTAATTTTTAAAATTTTGTTCTTTAAAATTATTTTTTATTTTTATTTTTGAAGAAAATTACTATTTTTTTCTTCAAAAATATATACATTTTTTAAGTATTGGCCAAATAATTTATTATGATTTAGATATATATGGGCGATCCAAATTTTTTTAAAATATACAAAAACAAATTAAAAATTTTAAAAATAAACATTTAAAAAATAAAATAAAATAAAAAATATTTAAAATAAAATATAATTTTTAAAATTTTAAAATATACAAAAAAAATACAGAGCACAAATGTACTAAATACAACGCACATTAAAAAAATATTTACCCTAAAAAAATAAAATAATTTTTTTTTCAAATATTTTAAAAAAATAAATCTAAATTTTTTTGAAATACAACTCAGAACTCAAAAACTCAATACTCAAAATATAATTCAAAACTCTTTTCAAAATTTAAAACTCTTTTTAAATTTTTTTTTCAAAAAACTCATTTCATGACCTTTACGTCACCATGTCTTGTAGGGCTTGGGTTGTGTGTGTAGAGGCAATATTGTCTTTTGTCAACCCAACATCATTTAAATAAGAGTGCTCCTAAATGCCGCACCATGTTTCTTAGGACACTTAACTTTTTTGGACTCCCGCCTATCAGAATTGATTCCTACCTTTTCTTCTTTGAACACCTACTACAATGTCAATCATACCCCTCTTTGTTGGAATCCCAACTCTATCACTTCTCCACATCTAGCAAGTCATTCCCCCCCGACACCCCATCTCCAGCAAGTCTTTTCCATGCCATCCCCATATCTGGCCACCTCTGATTGCCTTAGCCACCATCTTCCGATCATTACCCTAGCCCCCAAGCCCTTTCCCATTCCTTCTCAATTCTTTTCCATCCCTCCATTGTTGTCCCTATCTCTCATCCTCTTTCTTCATCTATGTTTAAAGGGCTACGGTTTTAAAGATTGCCATGGATAAGATTTCGAAGGTCACCATGGCTAGGGTGCCGTTCGACTATACAGGACCGAACCTTTTGAATCAATTTGGTGCTTCACAACCGAACAAGTAACCTTTGTTCGGCCCTAATTCGGTGTTTCCGAACATATTTCATTTGTTCGAAAATATATTTACCACCACACACTAGTGTTTTGTTCAGAGCTGGTTATTCAAATGGTGGCAATGGTGGTTATGGAGGCAAAGTAAAGGGTTGGAGTGCTCTTGGTTACCGTTACTCTGTGTGTGTGCGGCGTAGTAAAGAAGGTTATAGGCATGGTTACTAAAGATGAAGGGCGGTGAAGGTGAAGAATGGTAGTGGCACTGACAAAAGACTGAGGGAGGTTTAGAGAAGAGCGGGGGTGGCTGGTCTGGGTTGGGCTGCAGAGGGCAGGAGACTACTAACGATTATGGTGCTAGATAGAGCTGCGTTACTGGCCGGAGTATGTGTGGGGATGAGATTAGGGTTAGGGTTTGTGTGTTAGTTATTGTAAACCCATTTTGGGGTGTTTGGTTACATATGTATTGGGCGTTTTTTTGTTTGGTTACATGTGTATTGGGCCTTTTTGTAAAATTCTTATACTTTTGTACTTGTAAGTAAAATGTGCTTCTAGAACATTTTAGTTTTTAAATAGGAAAAACAGAGACAAAAAACACTTAGCAAGGAGGAGAAAAACGTGTGCAAAGAGAAGGTTTTTTTGTGTTGCTGCTCTGTACAAGGTAGAGGAGAAAGCTTTGTAAAGCTAATTTTTAGTGAAAAAGTGCAGATTTTTGATGCCCAGATAAGTGTTGACTGATGCTTTGTTTTTCTGATTATTTGTGCTGAAAGTTGTTTGCTTGAAGCTGAAAATCTATGCAGAAAATTCAAATTGTTGATAGTTGTGTTTGTGTTCTTTTTTTGGTCCATCTGTGGCTGTTTTTTAATGATATTGTGCATGTAATTAACTTCCAAATTTCCCAACAAATTCTGGTATCAGAGCCTTGGGTGTGTTGCTTGAATATTGTGGTGAAATTAGGGCTTGTGTTGATATTTGTTGTTGCTTAAGTTGTGATGGATTTTACTACCAATTTCTTTCAACCCCAATTTCCTAGATTGGGTAAAGACAATTACGAAAAATGGAGTATCCAAATGAGAGTGTTGTTGGCCTCTCAAGATTTGTGGGATTTAATTGAAAAAGGGTATGAGGAACCCAACTCACAAGAAGATGAAGACAAGTTGTCAGAAAATCAAAAGAATGGACTAAAAGGTTCTAGAAAAGGAGACAAGAAAGCATTGTTTCTACTCTACCAATGCATTGATGAGTCAACTTTTGAGAAGGTCTCCTTCGCCACAACTTCTAAAGAAGCTTGGGAAATTCTTAGGAATTCACATAGAGGCATTGATAAAACGGTACGAGTGCGGCTTCAAGTTTTAAGGGCCGAATTTAAGTCGTTGAATATGAATGAGAATAAGTCCGTTTCAGATTACTTTATAAGAACTTTGAGTATTGTAATCAAATTAGAAGGTATGATGAAAATCTTGATGATGTGCGTGTGATAGAGAAGGTTCTACAGTCACTAAGTTCCAAATTTGAGCATACGGCTGTTGCCATTGAAGAATTGATGGATCTTAATACCATGACAGTTGATCAATTGATGGCCATGCTTGAAATACATGAGCAAAGGATAAACAAGAAAGCCTCTAGTTCCCTTAAGCAAGCTCTCCAATCCAAGCTTTCTTTCAAGGAAGAAAAGGAGCAAGGCACATCCGAAAGAGGAAGAGGAAAAGGTTATGAAGGTCGTGGTAGAGGCTATGAAAATCGTGGAAGAGGCTATGAAAGTCATGGAAGAGGCTATGAGAGCCATGGTAGAGGTCGTGGAAGTAGAGGTAGAGGTGGAAGAAACACTATTAGAGGTAGAAGAGGCCAAAATTTATATGCTCCACGAGAAAGAGAAATAGGAGGAGGAAATTACAACCGTTCATTCAATAGGCATGGCTATGACAAGAGAAATGTGGAATGCTACAATTGTCACAACTTTGGGCACTATAGCTATGAATGTAGAGCAAAGTCAAGCAATAAAGTTGGTGAGCAAGTGAACTATGTTGAAAAAGAAAGCAATGAAGTGGGGCCTACTTTGTTGCTAGCATATAATCGGTCTAAAAATGATCAAAGCAATTTGTGGTTTCTTGATACCGAGGCTAGCAATCACATGTGAGGCAAGAAGCATATGTTTGTTGAACTTGATGAAGCGGTGTAAGGCCATGTTACATTTGGCGACTCCTCCAAAATTCCGGTGAAAGGCAAAGGTAAAATTCTAATCAAACTCAAGAATGGAAATCATGATTTTATTTCCGATGTTTATTATGTTCCGAATATGAAAAATAATATTTTGAGTTTGGGTCAACTTTTAGAGAAGGGTTATGATATTAGCTTGAAAAATCTCTACCTTATTATTAAAGATGCTTGTGGTAATTTGATTGCTAATGTGAAAATGTCCAAGAACAGAATGTTTTCTTTGAATATTCAACATGATACTATAAAATGCTATTGTCAAAGACAAGGCTTGGTTATGGCACTTGAGGTTTGGACATCTCAACTTTGGTGGCTTGAAGCTTTTATCAAGTAAGAACATGGTGAGAGGTTTGCCAAACGGTTCCAATCCGGAACCGTGAGGTTCAATCCGGAACCAATCCGTGGACTACGGATTTTTAATTCTTCAATCCGGAACCGAACCACGGATTCGAAAAACCAATTCAAACCTATCGGATTGGACTGGACTGGATCGGATTACGGATTTTACGGATTTCTTGCTCAGCCCTACATGAGTAGAGATGTCATCTTTGAAGAAGAGGAAATGTGGAATTGGAAGCAAAAAGAAGTCCTTAAGGATATTAAACTTATGCTTGAAGAAGAATAGGTTGAAAATTCACATGAAGTTGAAAAAGAGCCACAAACTCCTCCACATGGGTCCCTCTCTTCTTATAGAGGTGATTCCTCATCACCATCATCATTATCATTAGAGGCTAGTTCAAGTGAAAGGCCAAGGAAGACAAGAAGCTTGCGAGAGATTTATGAAGTTGCTGAAATTGATGAAGACAACCTGAACTTGTTTTGTTTTTTCATGGATTGTGATCCACTTAGCTATGAAGAAGCCATCCAAGAAGAGAGATGGAAGAAAGCTATGAATGAAAAAATCCAGGCAATTGAGAAAAATGACACATGGGTGCTCACTAGCTTACCACAATGCCACAAAGCAATTGGTGTAAAATGGGTCTATAAAACAAAGAGGAATGCAAGTGGTGAAGTGCAAAGATGCAAGGAAAGATTGGTTGCCAAAGGCTACAAGCAAAGACCCGGAATTGATTATGGTGAAATATTTGCTCCCGTGGCTCATTTAGAGACTATTTTATTGATGACTTCTCTTGTCGCCCATCATAAATGGAGTATTTATCAACTTGATGTGAAATCAACGTTTTTAAATGGCTTTCTTGAAGAAGAAATTTATGTTGAACAACCCTTGGGGTGTGTCAAAGTTGGGCATGAAGATAAGGTGTATAAGTTGAAAAAAGCCCTTTATGGATTAAAATAAGCACCACGAGCATGGAATGCTAGAATTGACAAGTATTTTTATAAGAATGGATTTGATAAATGTCCTTATGAGCATGCTTTGTATATGAAGACAGATGCCAATGGAAATGTATTACTTGTGTGCCTTTATATTGATGATTTGATCTTCATGGGAAACAATCCTAAGATGTCCAAGGAATTCAAGATGAGTATGATTCGAGAGTTTGAAATGACAGATATTGGTTTGATGTCTCACTTTCTTGGCATTGAATTTGTGCAAAAGGAAGATGGAATTTTCATTTATCAAAGTGGCTATGCAAAGGAGATACTCAAAAGATTTGGAATGGAGTCTTGTAATCCAGTAAACACTCTGGTAGAGAATGGGTTAGAGCTAAGGAAGAGCAACAATGGTGGCAATGTTGATCCAACTTACTTTAAAAGTTTGGTTGGAAGCCTTCGGTACCTTACTTGCACTAGACCGAACATACTTTATGGAGTTGGGCTGATTAGTAGATACATGGAAGCACTGGATCAATCACATCTCAATGCGGTAAAGAGGGTTCTTCGTTATATGAAAGCTACACTCAATGATGGTTTACTTTATTCATGGACTAATGATTTTACACTTGTTGGATACTCCGATAGTGATTGGAGAAGAGATTTGGATGAAAGAAAGAGTACTTCAGGTTTTGCTTTCTACTTAGGAAATGCTACATTCACTTGGTCATCTAAAAAGCAAGCAATTGTCACTTTGTCTACTTGTGAAGCAGAGTATGTAGTGGCTAATGCTACTGTTTGTCATGCTATATGGTTAAGGAACCTATTGAAGTACTTCGGATTTCCACAAGAGGACCCCACAAAGATTTTTGTTGATAACAGATCGGCAATAGCCTTGGCAAAAAATCCAGTGTATCATGAAAGGAGTAAGCACATTGACACTCCTTATCATTTTATTCGGGAACATGTGAAGCAAAAGGAAGTGGAGCTAGTTCATTGCAAGTCTTATGATCAAATTGTTAACATTTTCACAAAACCTTTGAAGCATGATGTATTCAATAGATTGAAGATGATGCTTGGTATGAAGACTTTTGAAAATTGGGTTTAAAGGGGAATGTTAGTGTTAGTAATGGGCGCCCATGTGGCATGACCATTTGAATTTGAATTTGAATCTTATCCAAATAGGTTTTGAAATTGAATTCAAGCCTATTTAGGATAACCACTCAGGATACAAATATTATCTCCATTAACTGATATGGATAGATAATAATAACACATTATATATCTGGTATATGAGTTATAGGTGATTAAGAGAGAAACAACGTATGATCTGAGTTTTACCCATATACTGACTCTCTCCCAAAAACAACGATCAAGTCATTTGCACTGTGATTTGTGTGGGTGATATTCATTCTGTAATATCACTTCACTGCTGGGTTGGTTTATCAGATTCTGGAAGCACGTGATTTACCCACGAGATCCTTCAATTCAGACTCTGTTTATAAGGTATGACCATAATATTTTATTCCGCTGCGTTATACTTTGTTTACATTAGTATCAGAGCAAGTTGATGGATATTTTCGTGTTTTCTTTAATCATGTATATATTTTTATATGTATATGTATACATTATATACATGAATATTTGTAGAGGAGAAAAAAATCTACTTTTATTAGATTAGGAGCATAAATATATTTTTTTATGTTCATTAATGTCTTTCTTCATACCATAAATGGTTTTATTTTGAAAAATGGAGTCCGGCAGTACAAAAATCGGACTAGAAAATACCCTGCAAGGCGGTACGTGGTTTGCACGCGCCACCTGACGCCGTGAGCCGCTCCCACGCGCTCCCACGCGCCAGATGGTCTGCCAACGCGCCTGCACGCGCTCTCACGCGCACATCCGCGGCGCTGTCCACGCACGCCATGCCCTGAGCCGCGGGCTGAGCCATGCTCCGAGCCGCGTGCTGAGCCGGGCTCGCTGAGCCGCGCCGTTTTCCTCCGCCGGCTCGGCTGGCTTGGCTGCTGGCGTGTTAGGCACTGTTTGTTTTGTTTTTAATTCTGAATCGCGTTAAATGGTCATAATTAATTCATTACATATTTGTTTTATGCGTGGCTTGTACTGTTAGACTCAGAATTAATTTTTCTACATTCTGTAAAATTTTGAAAATTTTCAGAAAATATAAATTATTTTTCCTGTGTTAATAATTCATGTTTTATGCTTTAAATAGATCATGGGCCAAAAATAAATTAAGGGTTCATTTGGAAATTAGTTTTTTTAGTAGTTTCTGTTATGGCATAATCTGAATATTGTTTATGTTTACTAGTTTTGAATTTTTTTATTTCTAATTTTATGTGTATTTATTAGTCATTTAAAATTCCAGAATATTTCAGAAAAATTTTAGAATATTTCAGAATGACGTACATTTTAATTATGGCATAATCTGAATATTGTTTCTGTTTATCAGTTTCTGGATTTTTTTATTTCTAATTTTATGTGTGTTTATTAGTTATTTAAAATTCCAGAAATTTCAGAAAAATTCCAGAAAATTTCAAAAATGATGTACACTTTAATTATGGCATAATCTAAATATTGAATACAACATATTTTTTTTGGGTTTTTAATATGTTGCAATTAAAGAAGCATGATTATTTATTTATTTATTTATTTGAATTCCATCATTAAATAAATATAGCATGAGTTGTTTGTAAATTTATATTGAGATGCTATTGTATGGAATTTATCATGCTTTGTATATGCCATAAGTAGTGGGAGATTGTTTGATTGTTTTTTTTTTCGCGCATGAAATGAAATTAAATCTTTGATAATTATCACTAGAGGCGCAAGAGATGATTACGAGCATAGCAAATTTTCGATCTTGAGACATGTGTAAAATTATCATTATTTAATTTAGATTCTTTTTGCTGCAAAATATTTTGTTTTGTGTTGCTATCATTAATATCCCCTGCGCATTTATTTACTCTGTATGTAGAAATGGCTGCTAAGACAGTGGTGGCAGACTTAACTAAGGGAGAGAAATTGGATGGCGACAATTATGACATATGGCGCCGTAAGATCCAATACCTCCTCAATGAGCAAGAAGTGTTGACCACACTTGAACAAGTGATGGTTGAGCCAGAGCAGGGCAATACAGCTCAACATCGTCGTGATCTTGAAATCTTTCAAACTTGGCATAACAAAGATCGGTGTGCGCGCTTTACTATGTTGACAGCATGCACAACGACTTGATTAGTGAGTTTGAGCATTGCCCGACTGCATTTGAGATGTGGGAAGCTCTCAAGCAAAAGTTTGGTATTACCTCTTTGGCAAAGCTACGTGGGCTGACTATGAAGTTTGACTCATATCAGAAAAGGGCGCATCACTCGATAAAGCAGCATTTGAGAGTCATGTCAGCCATGATACGTGAGCTTGCGGCTGCTGGGCATAATTTGACTCAAGAGCAGCAAGTACAGGCTGTGATACGCTCTCTGCCAAATTCTTGGGAGCAGATGAAGCAGAACATGATGCATAATGAGAGTGTGAAAACATTCGAAGACATATCGCGTCATTTGGAGCTAGAGGCTGAGCGCCTTGAGGCGGCTAAGTCTGATGGTTCTGCTATGGTGGTTGAGTCAAGCTCACGTAGGACTT